GTCCTAGTCTTGCATTTACAAAATGGTCGCGTTGGGAAGAAAACGTCAGATCGATACTGTGAACGTCTGCAGTTCACTCTCGCTCACTAATAGGCCTCATATTTTTACACGGCCACGGGCTATCGAAAGTAATTAAGACAATAACAAGGGCGGTTAGAGCGGCCAGGCCTAGCTTACTTTTTTGAAGTCAATGGAGAAGCGATATGCCTGAACTAACCTTCAATCATTGAACATACAACAAACTGCAACATTAGGCCATGGGTTCACGCCCTGCCAGCAGGCAGTATATTCAAAAACTAGCTGTAGACCGGACAAGGGACAGCTTGCATGTGCAAGAATTACAGTACGCACATTGACCCTGCAAGGAAGACTATATTCGAAGGTAGGGCAACACTTCAGGTTACAGACAGACTACTGAAGCCTGTTCGGGTTCCCCACTGACCACATCCAACAGTGAAGTGGAACAAGACTGTTTCGCTAACACAGTGATGACTTCAGCAGTAGGTACTTCACAACCTCCATGACGTTTTAATAACAAACCGAAGTCAGGATGAACGAAGATGAGCGTAGACGCAGTAGTTCAAATGGATGAGTTCATGTTGATGCATACATTACAACCCCTGGTCCCTACACACTTGCGTGTACCTGTTACGGCTGTAATAATGCCTGATCTAGCCGGCCTCAATAATGTCGTGGACAGTATCCCTCTACGCGTGACGATTAACGGTAGCGGATCTGGAAAGCTCCGCCCAGTCTCCTTCCCAGCGAAAGAGACCGAAAAACTGCTTTCATGTCTTGACGGAGGGTATCGATCCAAGACTTCATTGACGGCCCTAGGTGGGCTGCGGCGCGGATCGAGGTCAGCATAACAAAGCTCATGGGGCGGACGACGGAGAACGTGCCTAAACCACCTGAGTCACCTTTCTTGGATTGCCTGAGATATTCTCGCGATAATATCCCAGCGAGTGCGGACTGTCTCATTCGAGATGAAGTCGTTATACTTAACTCGTAGGCAGGTCCTCAGACAACGGTGATCAAAGACCTCCAGTGTTCGCTCATCCACAGCGCGCAAAGCCCAGCATTCAAATTAATATGGGAGGACCAACCGGGTGGATACACGTTACACACAAATCTTCGTGGCGATGGAGATTTCGCGTCGGATCCATAGGTGCTTTCGAAGGATTGAGAAAGCCCAGCGAGCAGCATCGATGCAGGAGACAATGTCGTCCTTACTCTGTCCATTCAGTAGCAGCCTCACCCCGAGGTATTTAAAGCTGTCTACTTCTTCAAGTTGATGACAGGGGTGCCTTTTCCTGGTCAGGGATGCAGCTCGATAAAAACTTAATCTTTCCCAGGGTGCCTTCTCCTGGTCAGGGATGCAGCTCGATAATAAATTAGTCCTCCTGGAATTCATGGACATGCCAACCGACATAGCGATCTCATTCACCTGCGACACTACAGACTGTAGACTACCAAAGTTTGGGATTAGCAGCACCGGCGTCCTGGTGCAAACTCAACACACACGTGCGCAACGGAATGAAGCGACTGCAAGGAGATTGGCTAATTAGGGTGTTTTCCAGACTGCTCTGCGCGTACTAGATCTGCATCATCCAATAAACTTGAGTATTGCAATCCGAAAAAAGCTTCATACATAAGACCATTACCGACAAAGATAAGGGAGTAAGCCCATATCCCAGCGGTGAGGTCTCATCCACCGAAAAACTTCACTTGTCCGCAGCTATACATTCTTCGACCCTCTGAATGTTTACTAAATGCATTGTTCATCGATAACGTCAGAATACAAAATAGTTATTTACAGTCACGCAGAGCAACACTAGGAAGAACAGTGGGCCAGTATCTGGACTAGCAGGAAGCCCTGTTTGCGATAAAACTTCCTGCTAGGTGCCTTGGTGAAGGCGATCAGTGACGCGAAACGAGGGAATTTGTCAAGTGCGAGGGTTGTAGTGCTGTCTCCTACCTCGCTCAAGGCAGAAAGTGAAAATTAAGAGAAGTTCTGGTCAGATCACATGAAAGGCACAGGTGGGCGCGAAGCTGCTTACCAAATGCGCCAGGATGGCAAGCAATGCCGTCTGTCGCATCAGCGTGGACTTGCCGCCCATGTTGGGTCCAGTAATGAGGAGGGAAGTGATGCCCGGTTTGAAGCCGTCCGTCGCATCTTCCTCCCAACCGGGTACGGCACCCAGTCGGAGGTCATTTGGAGTGATGTCGTCACCGGAGAAACTGCGAAGGAGACAGGGATGGGAGCCACTCACCATCTCCAAGAAGGGCTGAAAATCAGAGGAAGCAGGAAGACCAGAAGGTTAATGGACTGGAAACAATGTAAGCGTCAGCTCGTGCCGCCTAACTCAAGTTGATCAGTCAAGACACCGGCGTAGTCCTGGGGCCCACAGTATTTGTCTTCACCAGTAGATAAGGCAATGCACTAGGTATGTATTGGATTGT